TGATGCGTCGTCGACTTGACCGTCAAATGACAGCAATTGCTTTGACGAGGGTGATGTGCATTTTCATTTTGGGTATACCATTTATTGTTTTGAGTCTGTTCCGACTTAATATCACATATCACATGGACGACCATTTACAACAGGTCATTCTTAGTCTGTCATCAGTAGTCATATATTCAATTTTATATCTTAACTATGCTGTAAGTTAACTTATTTTATTGACTCTTAAAATTGTTTGTATAACTTTGATTTTGTAGATTAATTTTTATTTATTTTTAATACTATCGCCGCGTTATCGTAATCAAGTGAAACATTTCTTTATCAAAATAATTCGGCGTTCTTGGACAAGATTATCTAATCCTAGATTAACAATTCCAAGACATAATCAAATTGCTCCAGAGCCTGCTCAAGCAAGTGCATTCATCATAGAATCTGTTTAGTTGTGTTTTTATGAGAAGAAAGAAATTTCCAATTATCTCATGCCAACAATAGTTCCTAAATATCATCAGTCGATTGTTGTCTTATATATAACTTATGATATCTTATGCAAATATGTTTCATATATATATATTTGTCATACTTGATTGACGCTTCTGAATCTAGATAAAAAAATCAGTATGTTATCTAATTTAAATGACATAAAACAAAAATGTTCGTCACAGATAGAATAATGTTAGCGGTGAAAATCAAAGCCATAATACGACAGGACACAAGATAATGTATTCAGATAGAGATCAAATTAAATACATAGTAGGATAAAAATTGGATTTGTGCTTTGATTATATCATTGACGAAGTAAGACAATTAACTGACATGTTTCATTGTGATTAATTGAAATAGTGTTGATTGATGATTTAACTGTTTCTCATTGTCAAATGTTTTTATTGCAACTATTGTCAAATCCATTATTTTAGATATTAAGAAAAAAATCAAAAGAATCTGTAAATCATAGCTATCGAGCTAATCTTTTGCCTGGCAAGCTTCCTCTGCGTCAGGTCAAACTTTGAAATTTTAGTCTGACTTGATTCGTTCACTTAACATTCAACCTGACTAGCAGAGCAAACCAGACCAAAGTTGTTGACCCAGCTCCTACGTTGTGGACATCAAATGTTGACACATTGCCTTATTGTTTCAGAGCTTTTCGTTTAGATTCAAAACAACTGAATAGTAGAGTGTGCATTGGTAGTATTGCTAAAATTGATTGTTCAATGTAAATGTCCTCGTCTGTTGTTATAAGTATCACTCATTCTCTACGTCTTTGTCATATTTATTGTCTTTTATCTCTTCGTGATATGCTTGATTGTGTGCTGTTTTTGTTATCATGATTGGCCTTTTTAGTAATGCGAAACAGTACTGACACGATCAAAAACATTGCATTAATTCAAACCCTACTTGTATGAAAAAGACTAATGATGATTTTTCTACTTGTTTTAATTCGCTATTTTGTGCAAGAAGTTATTATTATCTTATCTTTATGAAAATAAATCAAGGGAACAAATGAAATCAGAGTGATACATCAATGTAGAATTATAAAGAAGATGGCTTATCAGTAACTCTGATGTAAACTGTCAATACCCAATTAAAGCCAATAAAACATGCGTTCTTTTAAAAAATAAAGTTAATAAAAAGTAGTAGGCAAGCATAGAAAATTATGATGTGATATGAAGTTTGATGCAATTCTTTCTATAAAATTGTCTATTTCAAACCAAATTGATGATCAAACATGAAACTCAATTTCTTCAATATTACGACGATTTATTCAACTGCATAAAGATCGAAAGACTATTGGACAGAATCTTTTGTATAGAGGAGAGTCATTTTCTATTAGAATTGCTATGATTTCTACGGGAAGAACGAAAATCTATTTTATTTCTTACGTTTCCTCCAGAAACATTCTTAGTTACTTATTTTTTGAACGCTCTTGTTAAGATACATATTGAAATGAATCTCACTACAACTTGCAGATAAATCGGACATAGAACTAAGACAATTGGATCATGCAAGTAATCTATTGTCTATATTATTTCCATCGTCTTTTCATCTATTCTTTTTTTCATATTTTCTTGTCTCTTACTATCAATTTGTTAACAAATATATAAAATGAGCAGATATATGGTTAAAACTAATGAGAGTATTCACTCGAGACTTCATAACCGAATATCAGTAGTTATCCTATTCATTAATAATTACAAAAAAAAGTGTATGCTAACAATGACATTGCAAATAAAACGAATAAAATTAAGGAATGCAGGAATAAAAATTTACATATGCTGTTGCATATTAAAGATTGTTGCAAGCAATGTAACATGATGATCAGAACAAATACAGAAAAGAAATGATTAAAAGGAACTAAAGAATAGAAACCCTACTCTAAGTTCATTTGCACGAGTTGAATCTAATAAAATTTCAAAACATCATGATTAGTTGGAATATGTTTGATAATTATATGGCACATTAAATTGGTTTTCTACTTCTTATTCCGTTATCATTTTTGTCCTTTGATATCACTGATGTTTGAAAAAAAAATAGTATACCATTCCAAAAGAAATCATATGTCAACTTAAATTCAAACGTTTCGAAGAACTGTCCCTGTACAGATAAGCTATTATAAAGTAATGGAAAAAGGAAGACTTTTTCGAGCATTACTTAGAAAGGAAGCATTTCTAAGGGTCAAATTGTTTTTTAGTCAGAATTATGTGCGTCATGTAGATTCTTATGAGATATAAATACTTCAAAAAGACTGTGAAATATTAGCTTATCACTGCCGAGATACTGTAAATCTACCGTATCTTTTAGCAGAATACTATCGTCACTCCCTTAGGAGCATCAAGAAAACTGAGTTTTGAATTTAGAATTGAAACTTTGCATACAGACAAAACCTTCGTAAATATAGATTATTGTAAGAGTTTCAAATCTTTGGATTGTTTCTATCCTAAGATACGCCTATGGTAAAAGGATATTTTTCTTGCAACTTATATGCAACGGTTAATTCCAATGTTCTTATTTTGGAATAGATGCAATCAAAAAGTCTAAAACTTTCATAGTAAGCCATTCTTGTTAAGCCTGTATCTCTGCAGTTTCGATTCGAAATGTGTAACGCAGTTTTCGTGGTGTTTCTGAGGAGGATCACAGTGTTCTGCTAAAAAATATAGGAAAAATACAATATTTCGGCACTAATAAGCTATTAGCTCGAACTCTTTTCAGGATATTCATAACTCATTAGAACATACATGATTCACATTGGTCTCGACTCGAACGCGATTTGACACTTGAAAACGTTCTCTCATTAGTTTTAAGCGTAGTTGAATAAAAAAAAAAGTTTTTAATTTAGTAAAGACAATATTGATTATTATTGCGGCAGGTACTTCGATATTTCTGTTAATTATAATGCAACTAGTTTTACAATTGAAGTGAACTTCGCACCGAGAATAAGAGAGTATCGTATATAAATCGATATATATTTGACAATCAAATCAATTACTTGAAACTTTGTTAATTATCAATTGTGAAAAGTAAGATGTATGAAAGTTCTGATCTGTGTGTTCTTCAGTCTGAGATACATTTAGTTTATCTCTACCTGTTTTAAGGAAGGCTCAGTTTCTTTTTCTGTTCATAATAACAAATCAATAATAGCTCTTATCTCTGCTTTTTTGCATGTTACTATAACATTTAGCAATTAGTTCATTATCTTTTTGTTTTTACGTTTGCATGTGAAGGGAAAAGAGAATTGTAGTTTAGCAATTAAACAATGTTTTATCATTGGTTGGAACATAATGCATGGCCCCAAAATAAACAAACCATATCAGAAAAAAACTTTCCGAGTTTGTAGTGGTGAACAATAAAGGCATATTAAAAATTTGATATTTCGTCTTTGCAAAGTAAAGTTAGAAATATTTGATAGAAATGAAAAAATGATCTTTCTTTTGTGAGTATATAAATAACAAACTAGTCTCAATTTAAACGAGACAAAAATACTTTAATTGTTAATATAAATCACTATTAAAGCCTATTCGAAATGTATCACTACTCTTCCTTTAGTACAAAATAGTCAGAAATGAACATGAAAAACATAATTTACACTCAATTTAAGAATATTGTTTTCCACTATTAGTCCACAATAAATGAGGAATAAAGGTAAGAAAAGAAAATTTATCACACGAAGATGTATTTACTTTTTCTAAGACAAATTCAACCAAACTCCTTTTCGAATATAAATACAGATAGAATTAATTGTTGTTGTCTTCTGTCTTATTGATTTGTCTTTTTAACGTCAATAAATTTAAAAAAAAGTTCTTCAGACTTTATATTGTGAACGTTTACATTGATCGATAAGAACACACCTAGACACCATGAAAGAATACTTAACATAGTGACAAATTAAATAGATTTGAGAAAAATAAAGCTGTACGCAAGACTTTTCATTATCTACTAAATATTTATGACTAAAGTGTTGTATCAAGAATTGTATGCAGCCGACTAAAACCCAACACTTTTTTTTTCATTAGAAAAACAAAATGAATATTGAATCTAATCTTTTTTATAGTCTTAGATTACGATGAAACCCTTGCATGTTCAAAGTCAGTCTGATAGAAAAGACTCTTACTTTCTCTTGTTGAAGAAAGCAATTGAGTTTATGACATTTCACATAGCAGTTTGATAACGAGGTAGCCACAGAGTTTCTGTTTCTATTTTATGTTAATGTTTTCTTCACATCATGAAAGAAAACTAAACGTTGGTGTGCTAATCTTTTTTTCATATGTATGAATAGCTAATAGATTCATATTTTTTATGTGATACGATAGTTTGTCTAAATATTCAAATGTGATCGATTGAAATACAGTATTTTTTTTTTAATTTCTATTTAGAAATATTGACATTTCAAATTAGAAAAGCAAATATCGATGATCTGTTGACGCAGTTATCATTGTTTACTATTCACAGAATATATTTATTTGTTAATCTGAAAATTAAACGAACGTATTTATTATCTTAAAATCAACATGTTATCATCAGTATTGGCTAAAAAACTTCAGGTCATTGGCGAAATATATCTGTTAAATGCTGGTATTTTTAATTTAACCGCTGGAATTATTGGTAATATTTCAATGATTTTGGTGTTTGCTACTCTGAGAGTTTTTAAAGGAAATCAATCCGCTTTTTATTTTATTGTCGAGTCAATCTCCAATATTGGTTTACTCCTTGCAATATATGTATCAAAACTTCTCATTTATATTCTTGGCTATGATCCAATTCTAAGGTCAATCAGTTGGTGCAAAATACGAACCATGGTGTTACAAATATTTGCTTTATGTTCTCTATTTGATGTATGTTGTCTTTCTTTTGATCAATATTTATCAACAAATCTTCGATTCAGTTGGCGACAAATGAGTACACTTAACTTAGCTCATTATCTTACATATTTCAATATCTGTTTTGCCACATTGAATAGTATAACTTGTCTCATTTTCACTGAGATTCAACCATCAATGGGTTGCAGTATATACAATCCAATACTTAAACGTTATTATTCTTTTTTCTATTATCCGGTTATTACCAGTATTTCCCCATTAACAATTACTCTGACAACTAGTTTATTGGCTTATCACAACGTTCGTCGGATTATACGACGACAACTACCAGTATACCGTCGACGCCTTGATCGTCAAATGACAGCAATGACTTTAGCACGTGTTATGGTTCTTATTATAGGTGGTGTACCATATGTTTGTATTTCTCTATATCAACTTAATGTAAACAACAGTGAAAATAATTCTACCGAATTGGCAATCGTTAGCTTCTTATTATCAATAACTACTTCATTTATGCATGCTAATTTTGTGGTAAATTAAAATAGAAAACTTAGTTTTGTCTTGAGACTATTTATTTATATGTTGAATCTTATTTTAGGTCAATTTTTATGTCTTTTTGATGGTATCATCACGTTTTCGGCGTCAAGCAAAAACTGTTTTGATAAAAAAACCTTGGCGCTTGATTATATCTCTATATGATAGAACACTAACAAGTCCACAAAGAAATCAAGTTTTTCCTGAAATAGCTCAACGAAGTTTTTCTGCCAATGAACCAGAATAAATGTTGATGGTATGTCGCAAGGATGGATATCTTCTTATGAAATGCTTCAAATCTATGTATATGACATGTCAAATACAATAAATGACATTGTAGTAAGATTAAAAAATACATTTCAAATAAATTTGTTCACTTTTCGTATAATGATCATACATTATACAGAGTGTATGATATTGTCAATATCAATAAAGCATTCTCCTTTAATATCAACTAATGAATAAAGGCGCGTTGAATAATTAGAAATAAAAAAACAATGCATTCTATGTCCTCATAAGATTTGAAGATTTTGCTATTGTGTTTGCAATCAAAAGAAAAGCTATTGAAGATTTTCTTAATACGTTGCCAAAATGAGAAATAAATGAATACATAATTACATGCACGACTGCGTCAAAATACATACAAGATTTTTTTCAAATAAAAGATTTTATTATTTCTAAAAATAAGCTTGTATCAAGTTCATTCATAAGTCGAATAGATGACGGCTACTTTCAAATAATATCCTCTTCTATTCGTATTAATTATATTTTGTCCTTAGCGAAATTTCATTGAGATTAAATTGAGTTACCTATCGTGTTCGTGTTATTGTTTTTATTATTAAAAATTTCTGCAAACAAAACTTTTTTTTTAAAGTAGTTGAATTTTTTTTGGCAAAAAATAGAGAAGAGCTTTCACTGTGAAAATGTTCCAATTATCTTTTGATCATTTATGATATAAACTTTTATTCTTCGTAACAATTTATAATATGAATATTCAATCATCGGAATCCAACATATAATTTTTTTTTATAGATTTTTAACTAAGATAGCGTATTGCATACAATTAAATCTGTCCGTATTAATTTGCTGAAAAAAATTTATCTTGTATATTTACAGGTCATATTCACTTGCTGGAAGAGAATAAATTTGAAAGTGTTTGAGCGTAACAAATGCAATTACTTAAGAGTTTATAAATTAATATTTTGCATGTTTTTTTTACACATCATTTCCTCATTCGAAAGTAACAATCATCAAATATTTCTAGACAAAATGATGTTATTTTGCATTGTACCGAGATTTGAGTATTCTTTTGTTACAGTAAATTTCTTTTGATAATACCTATTTAACTTATGTTACGATAAATTTAATCCTCTTTGCAGTACCCCCTCCCCCTCACTCGATTAGAAAGTCATGTATATAGAATAATGCTACAAGGTCAAATAGAAGGCCATGAGTTTATCGAAGGCTTTTTCTGGAAACTCAACAGCTATTTGGATTGTACACTTAAAAAAACTCAGCTTGAATCAAGACCTTAGTATTTTTAATAAAAATGACTATTATTTCCAATGAAAAATCCTGGTTTTTTGGTACTTTGTTGGTGAAAAAAAGTGTGTTTCAAATACCAGAAGAGTTTTTCCAAAGCCATTAGGTTTATAGATAAAAGCTATCAAAACGCTAACTAGCCATAGAGATTCATGTTTAGAAAAGCGGTATAAATTTTTCCAATAGGACATCACGTTCTCTTATTCAATGGAAGATTAGTATTTGTTTAAAAACTTCATTATAGTCTGGATAGTCTGAATAACAACATGTAATAAAATCAACAAAAAAAAGAAAACACATACAAATTATGATTAATTTCTTAGTTATTGTTTCTAGTAAGATATACTTCATACTATGAAGGTGAGCTACATGACAATTTGTGCTAGACTTTGTCTTATAAAATTTGAGTTTTGATTTGGCTAATGGAATTGTTATTATGATTATTCTAGTGCATTAATTTTTCAAACATAAAATTTTTTATATGATAATATATAAGTTCATGCTAGGAGTATAGCAATACCATAAACAAGCCAAAATGATCTTAATTGAAAGTTTGCAAGCAATGAAAAATCGATAAAACAAAAGAAAATAATGGGAAAAATCTACTATCATCCCTTAACATCTTATTTTATTGTTGTATCATCTTACACTGTTTTCATGAAATCCTTTCATGACGCTTTGACACATTGATAGTTTTATAGCTTCTTTTTTACAAGTACAAGTTTACAAGTATTTTAGAGTTTCATTAAAATGCACTTTATTAACAACATTCTAACTATGAAATTATTTTATTATTTTCAACAGCATAAGAGATCTACTGTCTTTTTAAATATTATTTTTCTGGCTATGATAATTTGTTTCTCGTAAGTTTTGAAATCATTGATAATTGTTTCGATTCTAAAACAATCATGGTGAAATAAAATAGGTGAACTCTGTTTATTGATTGATTTAGTCATCATCCGATTCATGTTAAATACTTACCGAAAGATATTTATATACGTCTTCCGGATAGTGAGTATGATATTAATGGATTAAATAAATTCATCTGCTTGATATAAAACCAGAACAACGATACAATAATTTTATTTTGCAACGCATAGGTACCGTCAAGTTTGTTAAATATTTTACTCCTGATATTATTTGTTTTATAATAGTACTTAGTGTTCTAATATTTAGTTTTCATCACATTGATTTAATAACAGGATGTGTATATTATAATATATCATTGAGACTTTATTATAATTCCTTTTTTCTACTATTCCAATGCGATTGATCTTTTCGCAATTTTTATCAGGATATTGCATTTAGCCTTTGTTTTGTTCTATAACAGTCATCATCTCGTTCGACGGTAGAGCTGTAAGCTGTTCAGCAGAGACACTGCCAACGCTCTAGCCGTCACTATAAATAGTTGCTGAAAATTCCAGCTATCGCCGTGACATTATTATAAATGCTAAGTTTTTGAAAATTTTCGATTCTTGTAATCAGTTTTCGGAAATGCTCTTGTCTAATCTCTTATTATTTTCTCCCTTTCTCACTTTAAAGTATCTCCCAACTAACAAAATCTTTTTAAAAAACATCGGAGGCTTCCAATCACCGTCACTAGAGCGGCTGATATATCTAGTTGTTGGTGTCGAAAGCTAAAAAAAAGGCGTTAAACGTATCCTACCACCACTGCCGATTAATACATCAGTTTACATATCTTGTCGAATTTCTATATTTAACAGAAATATTACTGCAGTTATTTTCTTCTCACTGACAATAGGTTGGCAAATATTCCATTGCTGTGAAATTGTTTTTTTTTCTGATAATTATGTAGTCAATTTCTTTCTCTTTCTCAGAGCTTGTTCATTTTTACGTCTTCTTCACTAAGTAAAAATTGGTTTTCATAAAAAAAAAGTATTGACGATCATTTGAACACTTTTGAATGAAAAATTTAATAAGTTCAAAAACAAATGCATTAATTGTCTGTATAGTAGAGAATTTACCAGGAAGTAACTCGACTTGTGATTTAAAATAGTTCTATATTTCTTTTACAAACCTATTATTTAAGTTAAGTGATTTTAGCATGTTTTTGTTATAATGTATCTATTAATAGTAAATAAAAGTAAGAGTCAATGAACGGACTAGTGACTGAAATTTCTTTTTGAAAGGGATTTTAAAATCGAAAAAATGGCAGACAACATACTAATAAGACATTAAACAAGAACATCTCCGCAAAAAGATACTAGCGCTCGAAAATGCTTGAAAAATCCAGTATCTAAGCTTGTGTCGCAGCAGTGACGACTGAAATTTCATGAAGATTTTACAGCAACCAACGACATCATTGAATTTGTAAAACAATAGATTTATAGATTTCTTTTTTTCTTGTTGTCAAACATATGCCGATTCAAAACGAACACTGACATCTCTCATACATCTCATTGAGTGGGTGTTTCGTTTTAACCAATCAGGATTTTTTGTTTCTTGTGGGTACGGAGATCTCTTTTTTCTTTTCCTAAACCGAATTCAAATATAATTGTCTTTCATTTTCTGATCTTGTCTACATTTCAGATTCACTATCAAATGAATTCAATTCTTTGCAAACCAATGAATAAATCCATAAAATTTCCTAATAATCAAAATGACTTTTCAACTTAATAGTGAAAAATGCGAAAATGAAGCAGGTCACCATATTTCGAATCATATCTTGAAATGTTTAAAGCTAAAGTACAGGTGAAAACCGAGCCCTGGAAAGAGAAACCTCTCCTTGTTTCATTAAATAATGTAAAAAAAAACAGCATACCTCAAATATATTCTTCTTCTTTTGGCTTTAATCAAATAATGTTGTTCGTTTCTGTTTTTTTTTGAATGAGGACGTCTTATTCTTCTTATCGTTTTCTGTCGTTTATAGATGTATTCTCTCGGTATAGATATTGGTACGACATCATGCAAAATTTGTGTTGTTTCATCATCATCATCATTAAATGAAAACAATCGTATTATTTTTACTGAACAACTTGCTCATAATGCTCATATTATTCAAAAAGAATTTACTTCATTTGATGAACAATCTCCATCAAAAATTCTTGAAACTGTCGATAAACTTTTAGAGAAATCAGGTAGTCTTAATAATGATTCATTGATTAAATCTATTCAAATTTGTGGTCAAATGCATGGTTTTATTCTTTGGTCATCAAAATCACCACGTACAATTGTATCTTCACTTGTGACCTGGCAAGATCAACGATGTTCAACTGAATTTCTTTCAACACTTGCACCATCTTTAATACATCTACGCACTGGTTATGGTTTAGCTACTTTATTATGGTTAATTAATGAACAAAAAGGAAAAGAAGATGAATTAATAAAATATGATCGAGCCGGTACAATTGCTGATTATATTGTTGAAATTCTTTGTGAAGATTCAGCAATTAATTCACAAATATCAACCCAGATGGCAACAAGTTGGGGTGCGGTAGATAATAAATGGCCTATTGAACATCGTTTATTACCAAATATTGTTGAACCAGGTACTATTATTGGTTATTGGAAGAAAAAAATTCCTGTTTATGTTGCTCTTGGTGATTTACAATGTTCTGTATTTAGTTGTCAACCAAAGAAAAATCAAGGTGTTTTAAATATTTCAACATCAGCACAACTTGCCTTAGCTATTGATAGACAATCATCAATGATACAAAGTTCTCATGGTGATAACATTTCATCATC